AGGAAGAAAGCAAGCAAGCCAGAGTGAGAACCTGGGAATAAGAACAACAATGCCAATAAATCAGCTGAGGAACGTTCCAGATGTCTGCAGCTCATATCCCAGCTTAATGACAGCTTTTATAACAACAGTGATCTCTAAGAGCTGTGACCACTGTGGGCTGTTCTTTCTGTGAAACGACAAGCACACAGTCAAATATGCCCCACTGAGTTCACAAGGATGAAACATATTGTCACTGCATCCTTTGTTGTTTAGAGGCTGTGCCAAAATAATTTCCTTGCATCCACTTCAAAGACAGGTTTTACAAATATCTAGTCTGAGTTAACTGTCCTGGAAAAAGCTGTGTCAGTGGGACCCAGATGGGAAACGTAAGTAAGAAGGTCTAAACAAATCAATTAATTACTGGTAACATTAAGTGAGATAAGCCACATCTTTACTGTGATATGGAAATTGTGAAAGATACTTTGTTATAATTAAAATTAAAGAAAAAAAAAAAGGAGAGAGAGAAAAAGTCCTAATTACTTCACATGGTTTCCTGGCAGGGATTTGCTTGCTTTTTTGTGAGCATGGATCTGTATATGCTATATTTCTTTAGCTGAAAATTTACCACCAAAGGAATTTTAAGATTCTTTTCAAAAGTTCCCTTCTGTGATAATTTATTCACCATTTGCAATCTGTTAAACAGTTTTCAAAGGGAACTCCTTCCAGATTTGTCACTCTTAAAAAAATCCATTCATCCACTGCACTGCCCATAGGGCAAATGCTGGGCAGAAGAATTCACAAGTGCAAATTTATCCAAATAACCTGACACTGGAAAAAAAAAAAAACAACAAACAAATACAATACAGAAAGCAGCAAGAGAGACCTGGTAATTTAATATTACTAGGACCTCATTGCGAGGACAGAAGATGTATAGGCTTGGCTTAGTAAGTGCTGCATTCCAGAGCCTGACCTACATCTCTCACCCTTCCTAGCTAGTCACTCTGTGAGCTGTAACAATCCTGAAACCTGGAGAGCAAAGCAATATGTTTTGATATAAATTTACTTATATGGAATGCATGTTTTCCATGTAAAAAGCAGCATACGGCATAGCCCATTATACTGAAGGGATCAAATGGTTCTCACCATGTCAACAGGTGAAAAAATTACAATCTAGCCTATCTGCTAAAAGGAGGATTCAAAACTTGGCCACCTGCCATGACAGAATCAAAGTCAGAAATAGAGGCAAAAAGGGTAGAATTCATTACAGCACCTCTTGATTCCATGTATTTGTAAATGCTAATACAGGTCTCAGCAATGGCTGACTTCAAAAATGAGCAATTATTATTTGTTTATTGCAGCAAAAGTTCTCCTCATTAGATCACTGCTTCCCCCTTCCTCTGCCCCCCAGTATGTTCAAACCTCATGTTCTGGACAGAGCTGCCACTTGTGGGCTTGCAGCTCAGACACTATTAAATTACATGACTTTGCTTCATCTTCTTCTGATGGTGATTTTCCAGGGAAAAATGAAGAAAAAAAAAAAAAAAAGGAAGGCTAGCTATTAAGCTGCACTGTCATTTATGCCACCACACACTCCATGAATGTTACTGCCGCAGTGAGCATTAAAAAGGGCTCCCTTCTCTGTTTCAATGCATTGGTTCTGTACCTCTGACATCTGCAGACACCCAGCAGCACGGCACTGGGATAATAGAGTGAAGAATCACGCAGTCTGTATTTAGAAACCTTCTTGCTTTCTGTCACCTAGGAAGAGAAGAAAAGATTCCACAGTGCCTAATTACTTGGTTTCTTCCTGGTGTTTGACTTCACTGGTTTGGAATATAATTGCTTACAGTTCATAAAACGGGTCTTCTATGACCAGCTGACTTTAAAGGGTCAAACTGTGTTAAAAAGCATGTTAGGAAGGGCAGTAGCTTTTATTAACTTTTTGTCCTGGTTTCAGCTGGGATAGAGTTAATTTTCTTCCTAGTAGCTGGTGCAGTGCTGTGTTTTGGCTTTAGTCTGGGAACAGTGCTGGTAACACACCAATGGTTTAGTTGTTGCTCTGTAGCACTTAACCCTGATCAAGGACTTTTAGGTCTCATGCTCTGCCAGTGAGGAGGGGCACAGGAAGCCAGGAGGAAGCAGAGACAGGACACCTGACCCAAACTAGCCAAAAGGGTATTCCACACCACAGCACGTCATGCCCAGGATATAAACTGGGGGGAGTCACACAGAAGGGACTCATCGTTGCTCAGGTGGGGCTGGATATGCATCAGTGGGTGTTGAGCAACTGTATTGTGCTTGGGTTTTATTCCTCTTTTCTTATTATTCATTATTATTATTATTAGCAGTAGTACTATTTGTATTATTATTATATTTTACTTTGGCTTATTTTGATTGTTAATCAATTTCAGTCCACAAATTTTACTTTTCTTTTTTTCCAGTTCTCCTACCCATCTCACCAGGAGGGAGTTAGCATGAGCAAGCAGCTACATGGTCCTTAGTTGCTGGCCAGGATTAAACCACACCACCTCTCAAATGCTTTCAATACCCTTTCCAGCAGGCTTTCCTAAAAACCAAATTAGCACAAATACATTCTAGGCTAAAACTTCAGACCTAGAAAGGTACCAGTTGCACAGAGTAATGCTGTTCTCCATAACATCTCCTGTCTAGCTGTGTGGCAGTTGTAAATTTACATTATATCAGAAACATGGCTTATGGGATGGCTTATAGGATACAGAAGTGAAAAGGTTAAATCTGCATCGATAGAGACAGTTTAATGGAGAATAGAAGTTAGGTATGATTTTTCCTGATTTGGAGAAAAGATTTGAAAGTTTAGGAGAATATCTAAAATACAAAAAAATTGGTACAGTGGTTCTCCAAGGAAAGGAGGTAATCTTTATTGGTAATAGCATTACAGGTTTTATTCCAGTACAAGCAGCTGTTAGGTAACAGTCAGAATAGAAATATTTTGTTAAATTCAACAGTGTGGTTTCAGTCATTAAACAGTATTTGTGAAAATAGTACAAGTTTGATATCTTTGACTGGAAATATTTTTTTAAGGTTTTAGTAAGTGCTGATTTATCCAATAGCTTCATGGCTGAAGCTATGATGCACAAGATATAATTAAAATCTCTGTTCTGAGAGGCTTTAAAACAATGTATCCATACCTTGAATCAGATGCCAAGTGGATTGAATTTAATTTACACCCAGGTCAAGTAATGAGCTTAATCAAACTAGTTGCAAAATATCTGGCAACTGACCTACAAAAACTTTTTCTGCAGATATATCAACATGCAGTTCTGCAATGTTGCTTGAGTCAGCAACTCTGTGGTTTTCCTAGAAATACAGCACTTGTGTTCTGGGCTGTTTGCTGTGGTCCTTGCTGTTGTCTTTTTCATCAACGAGCACATCCTACAAGCTGACTGGCTTCCCTCCTTCCAGCTTCTTCATCTAAGACTGTGTGAGGTAGCAATGGGTTAATGCAGAATCATTCTGTCTACCCAGATTTAGTGCTGCAATATGGTATGATCCTCTTACCTACCTGTGGTCTGGGTTAGTGACAGTATTTGCCATCATGGTTTCATAGGCAAGGTGTGCGACAGCATTACTGTCCCGCTTTATTTATTTTAGTCTCCATTTAGCACTGCTTTTCAGCTCTGTACAGGCATAATTGGAATTTTGCTGAGAAATGACTGATAGCCAAGAGAATCCTTAAATTCAGACCTAGCTGTGTTTCTTTGAGAAAAATACCAGAAAATAACACATCTTTGGTTGGATTTCAAAACACTTTTTCCTTTGAGTTAATTGCAATAGTCCTTTAGGACTGTGCTTGCAGTCTCTTCTGGGACACCAGAATTCCTCATTCTGTCTCTCCTCCCACCTGATGGGGTGACCTTCACAATAAGGTTCTTTACATATGGCAACCTCTCCATCTCTTCAAAAGCTGTCTTAATGTAGATAGCCAGAGGGAACAAGCTGTGAAGCAGGAGCGATCAGCTCTCCTCAGAGGGAGTACACATGCAGTGTCTTTCCAACTGCATCTCTCAGCCTTGGAATTAAAGGACTGAACATTGGTTTCAGCTCTGAGTCTCTTCTTGGTACAATGCAGGTATCAATGATATCAAGCAATGATATCAAGGGAAAACAGACTAGTGTAAGCCTTGAAGCATCTGTTTTTTTTTTCCCCTAACTCAAATGTTTGCTGGCAGTGTGGCTTCGGACGAGTTCACTGTGTCTCTGTTCCTCTTTTTGAAAATAGAAATCTGCTTTTCTGCTTTGCTGACTGGGAGGATGTGCTCTATACAAGTTCAACATTCTTATTTATTATTGTTTTTTAGCTAAAATGTTAGGTTTGTGCTCTTCGGTAACGTTTCTGGTGTACCAACAGTACAAATTTATGCTTTTCCTATTTCTGTGTCATATTCTGCCCTCATGTATCCATAAAAAGTATAGAGATATCTGGGATTATGATAAGGTGTGCAAGGGTGGAATTGCACAGAAGAGGAAAGAGCAGAATTCCAAATGTTAGACGTTTTGGCATCCAGGGCAGGGTGTTGAACCACCTCCAGCTGGGCACTCAGTGGTAGTAGGTTTTTGTAGATGTTATTGTGATTGCTCTCCTGATAGAGAGCTGGATCACCTGTGTCTGTCATCTGCTTTATTGTTGGTTCAAGCACTGATGCCTGATGCCTTCCCATTGGGCTCAGCTTGAAAGTCTATATGGGTAGGCAGTTCAAATCGGCAATACTTCTTGCATGGGAAGTATGGGGACCACAACCTCTTGGTGTCCCCAAAGGACTCCTTCCTCAAATGGTTTCTCACCTCTTCATTATAAACCTATTTGCTCTATATAGATGGTTTTGTTTAGATGTTATTTTTTTACTGGTACTTTTCAATTATGGTATTTCAGGATCACCAAATGTGCATTCACCATCATTAGTGGCTTCTTCTCATGTTATTTGTTTCATGTTCAGGGAATAGCAACAAGATTGCAAAATAATGAGCTACCTTGTGTATTTCAGAAACATACCCCTCGCAATATGCATTTCAATGATTATCGTCACAGTTGGCTATGTGTTAACAAACGTGGCTTATTTCACTACAATCAGTGCTGGGGAATTGCTCCTTTCAAAAGCTGTAGCAGTGGTAAGTTACAGAAGAAAAATACAAAGCTATATCCCTGCTGCAGTTGTGTTTGTTGATGTATTCTTATTTCTTGGGGAAAAAAAATCGGGGGGACACATACAATCAGGCTTTTCTGTGGCTCCTCTTTTACACCGTATAATAGCATCCTGGTGAAATTACTCTGATTTTTGGTTGAGTGGGATTGCACTTAAGGCCATAGTTAGCATTCATAGTAATGTTAGACCATATTTATTTACCTGATAAAACAAAGTCAATAGGACTTAAATTTTGTCGTCAAGTGAATGCTTGAATAATTCTGTGCTAAACTGTAGGCCAAACTAATGGGAAGCAGGAAACACAGATACCTGTGGAAGTGGGAGTTCTGAACTGTTTTTTGTAGCAAGAAGCTGTCTTGCTTCTTGTAAGTCTCTGCAACTGTGCATCTGGAGTACTTAGGAAGGGGGTTGCTGTGAACACTGAAGTTCATTTGGGAAGGAGTTGCAAAACAACCTGGCTTGGCACTATTGCTTTGATTGTTCTTGCTGAATTGTGGTGATGACACTGATTTTCATATTTACAGTATCTGACTCACAATGAGGAAATAAAAATTTCCATTTACTTTCCAGTAGTGGTACTGTCTGTGGCTATTTCAATCGACGTGGCATTTAAAATGACCAAATTCTGTAGCTCATGAGAGATTTAGAAAGAAAACATTTTGCAAACCTGAAGAAATTTGTGCATGTCTCCTGTGGTGCCTCAAACTCCAATTAAGGCTCTTCTGGTAATCTAGAACAAAAAAAAACAACCATGAATGGATGGACAGTACCACTTGGTAGTATCACCTGAGTGAAGACTGTAGGACAAAATTATTAGGTAAGCAGATCAGGCCATGATCCATTCAGATTAGGTCTTCTTTTTTTTTGAGTCATAATGGTCTAAACTGACAAAAAAAAGGACCACCACAGCATTGCCTCAACTGACTATTTTCTACACACAGTCAGGAGTAAGGGTGGGAGACCTCATCCACAGTAGTGTTCGCAACATAAAATAAGAGGTAACAAAGGCACAGTGCAACTTCCAGTGAGGGATATAGAAAAGGTGTATGACTAGAACTTATCATACTTATTAGTGATTAGCTAATAGATAAAAATTACTCTCACGTTTTAGGAAAAATCACTGTGTTTCTCTCCTCTAACAGACCTTTGCTGAACGACTGATGGGAAACTTTTCTTTAGCTGTACCAGTATTTGTTGCTCTCTCCTGCTTTGGATCTATGAATGGCGGCATTTTTGCAGTCTCCAGGTAAGCATTAGCTAATATTACTGGAGGTAAAGGGCACAGGATATACACTTGAAGCAAGGAAGTAAGAGGATAGGAGAGTAGGATTCATTTCTTTAGTAGGAAGTGAAAAATGACTACAGTGGTTACCAGATGTGGGTCTATTTCTCATCTTTGTTCCTGCTGAGTTTGACTCTTATAGTTAAAACCCTTTGAAATGTTTGGAAGTAGATCCCTCTGAGCATAGCACTTAATGGCTGCTTTGTTTCGTGTGAAGGAGGGAAATCGGAGGAAAAATGTTAACTAATTCCAAACACTGATCATAGCATAAAGTAAGGAGGGGACACCTTCAGAAATGACTTTGATTTCTGCTTATAGGCTTCTCCTGCTAGTCTTTTCATTCAGAATGCCTCAAACAAGCCTAAGAAGTGCTGCTGTGTTCTGTGACTTTCATGAGCTGCTTTGCCTAGTCGCAGTAATGAGCACATTTAAAGTCTGTCCACATTTGTTTCCCACCAGGATGTTCTTCGTTGCATCCCGTGAGGGTCACCTTCCGGAAATTCTCTCCATGATTCATGTCCGCAAGCACACTCCTCTGCCAGCTGTCATTGTTTTGGTAAATCATACAAACAAATGTTCCTGCACAAGAATTCATATTACAGCCTTGCTCTGGAGGATTCAAACAGAATTTGGGCACTGCTTGAGTCTCATTTATTAATGTGTACGTGGGCTTTGGGCAGGGCAGAGGACAGTAAAGAGAGGAATGAGGTTTGGGAGTTGTTCTTATTCTATCATCTCCTTCTTGCAATCTTGTTGGTAGCACTTGTCTGCTTATCTCCACAACCTCATTCATGTCTTATTGCACTTTGTTTCTAAGGACCTGCTAGTGATGTGCTAGTCCCCTTTCAGAGGAACAAATTCCACTTAAACAAACAAACAAAAAAGGGATTCAATTTAACTGAAAATGCAGCTAAACACCAGCATCTGGGAGCACCCTAAAGGCTCATTACACTACCTTATAGTGAAAAGTGTAAACAATTATGCGCTAAGATAATGGAAGGGGAACCCTCAGCAGTGCAGTGTAGCAGTGATTAAAAAAATGAGAGAAGTGTGCCTGGGCAATAGTCTGTGAATTGTCTAAGGAAAAACACCAGCATTATAGTGGAAATCCTATTACTGAGTTCTAAAATAGCAGCAGAGCTAAATGTTGGCCATGTGTTTGCATTGCAGACTAATTTGTATGGTAAAATGTTAGGACAAAATGTCAAAATACTGACCTCAAACCTCAGTTTGCAAAGTGCTTTGAAGATTTTCACTTAACTTGCAGTCTTTGTAACCATGGGTGTTTAGCCCTTCTTTTGGGACTAATGACTGTAATGTATCTGGACAGAAACTCTGCATCTGTGAGGAGATCTAGCCATGGCAGAAGACACATGTGCCCTTGTGAGTCTGTGGTAGTAAGATCAGATGCTTATACTGGAATTTAAATCAGTTTTTGAGCTATATGCTTATAAGCTTGCTTCTGAAGTGCCAGCTAAAGTGTTGAATTTTACATTTGCACATACAACTGAAGGCTTCCACATTTTGAATATTAGGCAATGTGATTATGGTGAAAAGTTTTATGGAATTCATTTTACATAAGCATTTACTTTGCATCTTATTGCTTTGGGGGAGTAGCAATATCTTTCACGTAAAGGCATTGTTTTCTGGAGAATGAAATACTTAATTTTTTTTTTCTGAAATACATTTTCTGCTATTGCATCTGGTTCTGTTACACCTATGCATTGATTTCCTTTGAAAAAGTCATATTCCCACATTAAGATGTCTTTCCTTCAGAGATAATAATTTTTTTTTCTTGCCTTATTGCAAATAGAGTAGTAGCAGAACATATTCTGCATCAATAGTCTGCATTTTAACATTTTCCTGGTTTATTTCTTCTACCAAGGTCTCCACACTGTAAGAAAAGAAAACTCTTGAGGATAAACAGAAAATGAGCATGTTCAGTGTTTGAGGCTTGCTAAATAAAAAACCCATTCTTAGTAATTAAGAGATCCGTTCATGTATGTATGTTCTGGTATTTGATAGATGTGTGTGAAACAGCTCCAAGAAATCATGCAATCACAGTTATTTTTTATTTCTTGATACCTCTTCTTCATTGTCTGTGGCCTTTTCTAGCTTTATTGTGCCTATAACTGAGGTTTTAAACTTTTGGGGGTTGAGTCTATATAGAAGAAATCTTGCCCGATATAATGCAGTGGTAAAATTTCCTTTGACCTTTACAGAGGAGTTTGCTTAATATCAACATAAAGGACCAAGAACTTTGTAAGTCACTAGAGGCTGGAATCCAGAGACCCACATTTGAAATATTGATCCTTTTGGTCCAAAATCCTTGCTGTCTTCACTGCTTAAAAGGCAGAGAGAGAGAGACAAAGAGACTGTGAATCTAGATAATTAATAAAAGTTAGTTTTCCTTACATTAAGATTTAGCCCAGTGTTTTACTGCATCTGCAGTTGATTTCACCTGTTGCCTCATTACATACCTGGAGAGGCTGTGGCTGCCGGGATCATCCCTCTTGCTGAATAATAAGGGCTGTGTTGGATTTGATTCATTCCTTCATCCCCAAATCCGAGGACTGTGTTGTTGTGGGCATAGGCTGTCCCATGGGAAGTGCAGATTACCCTCCAGAGTTAATCCAAGCTACAAAAATTACGCTTTTTTCAAGACATTACCCTAAAATAGATCCCTGTAGCCTACGCTAATAATCTAACCCAAGGCACAGCACTAGTTTATATGTGAGCTTTTACCTGCCTCACAGAGACCTTGTCTCTCAGAACAGCTCTATAATGAGGAAATGCATTTATTCTAGTGTCCCCTCTCTTTCTTGTTCTTCAGTAGTTGCCTGAGTGACAACTTAATGCTTTTCCCTGCTTAGAAATGTTTGCATTTCTGATGTGTAGTCAGTCCACCCTCCAGGCTTGAAAGGCACAGTGAAAGTACAAGCTGGTGGCAAACCAGTGTGCCCAGCTGTCATCCTGTAGTGTGTAGCTATCACTTACCGTGCCCTCTTTGCAGATTTCCCGTTACACCTTGCAGGACTTTAAGACTTTGTCCTTCCACAAGACACCTGGAAACCTCTGCTTTCATTTAATCAGATGTGACCAAGACTCATCTCCTCTTGTCATCTGTGTCAGTGGCGGGCAAGTAAAACAGTGGGCTAATATATTTGTCAGGTCCCACAAGAACAGTGCTTAGGATGCTCAAGCATTTTGGTGATGCAGTGGGCTGTGTGCCTGCATGTGTTTTTCTGGGACACAATGGACAGACATGTATTGGTCACAGATATGTGGCCACATGAGACAGATATATTTATCAGATGTGATCTCAGGGGACAGCTGGATTGATTACACACCTGATTGTATGACAAAGGAAGGCCCCACATCTGTGGCCCTCAGGTGTCTCTGCACAAGGCTGTGCTACTTGTCCCTGTGGAAAAAATTGATGTCGTGGCTGTAAAATAATAGAGAACAATCCACTAACCCCCTCTTATGCTCTGAATTTCTTTTGCAGCATCCTCTCACAATGATAATGTTATTCACCGGTGATCTCTACAGCCTCCTGAATTTCCTCAGTTTTGCCAGGTGGCTTTTTATTGGACTGGTAGTTGCTGGGTTGATTTATCTCAGATATAAACGTCCTGATATGCCTCGTCCTTTCAAGGTAACCTCTACTCTCTACTGTTTTACATGAATCCTTCTCCCTCCTATCCATTGTGTGGCCAGACAGTAAAGGAGAATTTTATGATGTAGAAAGCTAAGCTCTTTTTTTGAGAAAAGTAGAGTCAATAGAAAATAGTCTTTTGCACTGAAAGGTCTCTGAGTGTTTTCCTGCAAGCTCCCCAGTGCTTCTTCAGCTATGTTCACTTCTGAAAGATAATTCTTGTCTATTGCGTGGTGCTTCGGTGGCAGCAACTGAAGCTGCTGTTCCAAAGGGAATTGCTTAGTTTTGCCTATCTCCTGCACTGAGGCAGTGTGATTCAGGCTGTTTGAAAATGCCTCTAGTCCCCTGTAGTCCATAGCATTCAAACTTCAAATCTTGGGGTTACATGTGCCACCTTGATTTTCAGCCAGTTCTCTATTTAATCTCTTCTTTGATAAAGGCCTGAATAATTTTGCCACCAGAATTCATGTTAAGCATAAGCATTAATAGTAAACATTTATTTCATTGCCTATCCAATATGCCAATTTGATGCACAAATGAGTTGTTAATGCTATTAATATGATGTCTGGGACTTGCAATGGATTTGCAAACACAGTTATTGTGAACCCTGAAAGTGCTAATAGTCTGGCCCATTGAACAGTAGCTGTTTTAGCTTTGGTTCTGCCATTTTTCTTGCTTATTTGAAGTAACATCTTACAAAGTAAGTTGTCCTGTATGTATTTGGAAAGATAATGTCTATCATGAAAAAAATGGAGGAATCTATCCCTGTTTATGTATTGTCAAGATGCTTGTTTTGTGAAGAACTAGGAATCTGCAGTGTTGCATTCCTGTATGTATATCTGTAAATAAGGTCAAAAGCACTAGCTGTTTTACTTTGATTAAAAATAAAAAAAAAGGTTTTGACAGTCCACAAAAGAGGAACAGTAATGCTTCAAGGCATGAAGTGAGGAGAGTACTCTCCAAGGAATTCTCCAGCTCTCCGTTATACCAAACATCTCAGCCATGCCTCCCGGTGTTTCCTTCAGAGAGGTGCTACCATAGTGATTGTAGTGATGTTCTTGAAAATTGAAAGAATTAATCTGATATTTTTATTTTTTCTACTTTCAACACTGGCAATACTACCAGTCATACAGTCAGAAAGTGCTTTTTTCAGTAGCTACCACTTGCATAATGTTATCAAAAATCTTTATCACTGGTCAAATTAGTGTCTAATTTGCTCTCTTCTTTCTAGATTTTAATTTTTACCTTAGGAAGAAAATCAATATGTTCTTAATAGTTTTAAAAGGTGACTTGAGCTCCTGGTTGTGTTTTAAAGTGTTTTCTAATAGGTAATTATCAAAGAGGATATCTTTACTGAGGTTAGACCTGCTTACTTATCTACTGGGGGATTAGAGAAAGGACTTTTGCAAAGTAACTTATTTACAGCCCTTACATTTTCGAGGGTGTAAAACACTGCAGTGTTTTAGTGTGTAATTAAAAGACTTCTGTGGTACTTACTGCATAACACTCAGCATAGCTTGGTTTCTTCAGTCACTGACATTTTGTGTCCATGTTCTGGATGCCTGTATTTCTCCAGAACTATCCTGTACTGCTGGGTTTTATCCAATTTACATTTAATGGAACATTAAATGCCACAGTCATTCAGTAGCAAGGTCAATGTAAAGTAATGGTTCTTTGTGTGGTTATGTTTCAGGTACCTCTATTTATTCCAGCGTTGTTTTCCTTCACCTGCCTCTTCATGGTTGCACTGTCACTTTACTCTGATCCAGTGAATACAGGGATTGGATTTGCAATAACCCTGACTGGAGTTCCTGCCTACTACTTCTTTATTGTATGGGACAATAAGCCAAAGTGGTTCAAAAACCTCCTAGGTAAGCCCCGGTGGACTCCTCTTCTTCATACTGCCTCCAGGAATTTCTCAGGGCACCCTGTGTTGTGAAATACTTCCCGATCAACCCTCTCAGCTGCTCTTAGCAGTGATGAAAATGCAAGTTTCTTTTTGGCGCATGCTGTAGCATTGCACTGCTGGTTACAATCAGTGTTCACTAACTAATGAGATACATCTACAGCAAGACTATTCTTCACCTGGTGATTGACTTTAAAAGACTAGATGCCTCTCCCTCTGTCCTATTCTTCTCTCGCTCTCTTACAAACATCCAATTCTTTTTAAATCACACATCTCCATCCCCTGGTTGTTGGCCTATGCTAGTAGAGACAGTATTACACTCTCAGGAGAATCAGTTTGGAAACTTAAAAATCACAGTTGGGAGTGACAGGATAGGCTTGGTGTGCGCTACTGAGACGAAGCACCTGTGGAGTATTTGGAATGGGACAGGTGCAGGCGGGCTTGCTATGAGGACACTGTCCTTAGCAGTGGGTCCTGACAAAATAATAACAAAAGATACTACTGGGTTTGATACACCTCTGTGGAAAATTGTTTCTGTGCTTAATGAAAAACAGCTTTTGTGTAGCTTGGCTGTAGTATTTCACATCTGAATTACCCTAAGAATAATCCTTGTACCATTTCTGAATGTTTTTGAAAGCATTTGTATCAGTTCTGCTGTATTAGAGAAAAGTTATTTGGAGCATTTACATTAGAAAGAAGTCAATATCATTTATTACAGTTCCCTGTTATTCTGGTTTTTGTTGCTCAGTATGATAGGTTTTCAAAGTAGAGGTAATTTTCAAAACATGAAACAAGAATATAGACAAAATATTTCAGAAATGTTGGATAATTTATTAAACCAAACTGAAAGAAAATCTCTTTTGATGCAAAAGAAAAACTCAAGCCATGAAAGTTTTCAACTAAAAATTGTTTCTTGTATAGGTGCCAGATCAGAAATGCATATCGTCTTCTGTGCTTCTGTCTTAAAGGATGATTTAAAATGAGCTGCTCAGAATAAAAGAATGGGTTTTTTATATGTATGTTATCATACTATAACCTTTTGTATGTATTTTCTCTCTATAAATATAGGCTGCATAGTTATGTGCTATCTATCTATTGCAGGATCTATGAATTTTCCTCTGAAGTCATGCTGGGAACTCCATAGACAATAGGGCAGAAAGTATTTACAGAAAAAGATGTTATCTTAAGGCTAGCACAATCTGGTCATCTTAATTTTTTTATCCATAGGGTTATAAAATTCTTCCAATGTCCTGGGAATGGGTGGAAAGCTCCAGTGCAAAGGAAAACAGTTATATGCAAAAGGACATTGCATTAAATAGTTGGGATTTTGTCTGTTTATAATTTCTCAGCCCTGACATTTAGGAAATTTTCCCTTATCAAACCCAGGAGATTTCTGGCATTTTCTGTGAAGTCTGAGAGGTTTTGAATCGTTGCTTGAATCTCTGGCCACAGGATGCCAGTGTTGAACTACATTACATGGGTGATGGAAAAAATATTCTCTTTAAGGTAGACTGGGTAGATGTGAAGCTTTTTCTGCCAGCTGTGACGCAGAAGGTGAATCTTCTAGCTTTTCAGATAACACAAAATTCCCCTCCTAGAAAGAAGGCCTGTTGCCTGTGTAATACGTATGAAGGGACACAGTTTACTGGCTCAGAGGGGAAAGCAGTGGATGCCAGTCAGTGGGTGAAACAGCTTGTTTGCTTTGCAATTATTATTCCCAAAATAACAACAGTAATGACTGAAAACTGATGCTGACAATTTTGAGGTGGTGCAGAACAGATATTTACTTGTTAAATATAAAGATTTTTTTTTATTTCCTCAGAAGAAACAATAAACCTTCTGTGTGGTGTCATTAAACTGGCATTATTTTGTGAGTGTTAAGGGAGCTCCATTGTATAGCCTGAGAGCATTTTTCAAAGGCATTGAGTGAGGATAAATTCACTTAAGGTACTCCTGTGAGATATAGAAAAGCCATTGGGCAGCTGCAAGCTTAATATTCTAACCTTGAAACAATATGCATTAGGTGTATATAAGCATGAAAGAGTAAGGCCAGACATGAGGTAAAGGACAGCAGGAAAGAGTGGGATTGTAATTTAAGAGGTAGATTTTTGTCAGATGAACTGGGTAACTTTCTTTAAGAAGATAACTGATTTTTCTAGACAAAGGAGAATGTGATAGATCCAATCTACTTAGATTTCAACAAAGCATTTTGTGTAGTACCATGAGGAGATTCAAAGCCTGTTTGTCTGAACATGACGCTGTGCTAACAAGACTATTCCCAAATTGCTTCATCTGTGCAGCTCAGTGCATGAACAGAGCACTATGGGGCTCTCTACCCATCTGCAAAGTCGCCTTGTAGGGAACTTGATTAGTTCAGCTACCCAGATATGGGTACAAGAAATGACTGCTGCTCATAAACCTCACGTGGAACATGTGCTATTTAAGTAAAGGACAACGCTGGTGCAAGGACGCATGGGTACAGACCAGCCCCACATAAGATTACACGGGATATTCAGAAGAGGTTTTACTAGGATCAGAGGAAAGGGATGTTGGACAGCCAGAATGAGTAGTGGGATAAAAGACCCAGCCTGAAGATGAGTATATTTGTGAAAGGGGTTTCAGGCTGGTTACAGTAGCCCTCAAATGGATTACCCACAAAATCCTCTCCCAGGCTGAACATCTTTCATTTTGACTGCCCTTAATGGCAGTTATGTTGCCCATTCCCCTTACCAAATTACTGTATTGAACAAAAGGTAACATCACAGTTTGTGGGCTTAATAGGGTTTGGGTGGTATTTTGCAGTGAGAATAACATTTTGTTCTGTCCTCTTCCAAAAAAAAAATCACTGTAGCACCAGATGTGCTGGGACAAATAATTTCCAGCTAGTACAGGCTTCATTTGACCTCCACTTTCTCGCTTTTTGTAGAACTAATGCAAAAATGAAAAGAAAGTCAAGCTTAGCAAATCCTACAAAGCAGATCAGTGTGTAAAAGGATGAAGCACCAGCATGAGAATGATTCTATTTGGTCTTTCTCCTTTGAAAACCCAACCTTAGACTTATATTTAAAACATCTATTTCTTTACAGTGGATTGAATTGCAAGGAGCTTAAAAGTTGAATCCTGCTTTCTTCATAGCTTGAGCCCATACTGGAAAAGAGATCTGTTTATGCAACAAAATGTCTCTTTCAGGGTTATTTACAAACGCCAAGAGATGACACTTGCTCCCTCAGGACATAGTGTTATAAGCTTGGTTTGCTTATATTTGTCAAGTTTATTATGTTGGGTTCTACAGGAAATCATCTCAGGGTTTTGCTGTTGCAGATTTCATGTCTAGCTTATGCAGATGCAGTAAATTACTGCTTTCTTTCCCCACCCAAGTTTTATGGGGTGCTTATGCAGATACCAGGTCTATTTTTTTTCTAGAGGCTGTCCTCTGGGACCCATTTACTGTGAATTCTCTTCTTGAAAGGGAAAATTAAGGTTTACAGGTCGGGGAGATGGGAAGTTGTAGTTACTGTTATGGTATGTTAAGTCGTCTTGTTACAAATGTGAAACTAGTCCCTTAAACCTATGTACTGCTCAAAGCACACGATATAGATACACTGACTGGGTACAGATCAGAACATTTTTTTGGGTGAAATACTCCTTATACTGTCTTATCCTGAGTATGTTGCAACCTAATGAAACACCAAACAAGCACTGCAGCCCCCCACAAGTTGTCTGATTGCTGCTCCATGGCTTAATCCCAGCACAGAGCAAAGCTTCTGTGCATCAGTGGAAGAATGGCAGCCACCTCCCGCTACAGCAAGGGCAAGGTCTTGCTGCAGTTGGCTCTGTCCGTTTTGTCAAACAGGATTTTAAAATCCCAGACAGCTCTTGAGATGCCCAGGCTTCTCCTCTGCTGCCGTGCCCTTTTCCAAGAGCTGTTACAGCACAGCTCAGCTTGATGGAAAGTCTGTTTTTCTTCTTCCCTTGCTCAGGCTCAAACCTGGCAGGGGTGGGATGGCTGGGTGGAAGCCCTGCTGGACTCCTGCAGCTGGCTTTCCTCCTGCCCTTCACCCCGGCCATGCTCAGCCCAGCTCCAAAGTCCCCGCTGTAGGTAGGGGAGGGAGATGGGAGGAAAATGCAGTCCCTGTTGACTCTCAGCCTCCCTGACCCCATCAGTTTATAGTTTAAGGGCAACCTGGCTTTGCACTGAACTGGTGACCTTCAGAGAGAAGAGCAAAAGGTGGTAGAGTATGCCTTAGACAGGAGATCAGGAAAGTAGTTTCAGTTCATATGTTCTGTGAGTTGCACTGTGTTATCCTCCTTGCTTTACACTGATGACGAGCTAGACAAGGAATATCAGAACTTTGTCTTACAATAATTCCTGCTTGTTTAAAATGAGTTACTAAGATAAAAGTGGTAAGTGAAAGCAGTGGTAAGACAATGCTGGTTTACTATTCTGTAGATAAATTAACTGTGCCATTTATGAATCAGTGCCCTAAAAACCCTCCACCAAAACCACCAGAAGGAAATAAATGTTCACAGCGACAAAAAGACAGTGTGAAGTGGCTTTGGATGTGTGACATTGTTAGGCCTGGGAAGCTTTGTAATCAGTGTTTTCTGCATTATTTTTCTTTCTTTCTTCCTTTTTTTTTCTGAGGCAGATTTTGGTACACCTGAATTAACTTGTTTGAACTCTTCCAGGCTTTTATTTCAACACTGCAACTTTGTTAAAGCTAAGCAGTTGTGCAGACTAGTTAGGCTTTAAGAAAGGTTTTGAATACATGAAGACCTTTTTTGAACAAGTTTATGCATCTATACTCTTCCATTATTATAGTACATGTGTAGGCTTGGACCAGAGGCAAAAAACCCCCATAGTTAAAGAGAAGAAAAAATCAAACCAGACTTTTAAATGATATATGCACTTGGTATATGTAACAACTGTGAACCACATGTGCAAGCAGGCTATAGAGCAGCTAAGATAATTTTCCGGTCTGCTTCTGCCTTCTCCATCCCCACCCCAATTTCCCATGTGTATGCTTTTATCTTTGCAGACAAGCTAACTGTGACATTGCAAATCCTCTTGGAAGTTGTCCCATCAGAGGAAGACCAGAAATCATGATCTTCATGTACAGCTTTTGACTTGGTGTTTCATTTCTACCTGAGGAAGAGGGTAGGGGGATTTATCCCCTCACCTTATCTTCTTCTGCAAACTGGAGGGACAAGACACAGCTGAGATGGATACCTAGCGAGTCAATTACCAGGCCTATATTTTATGATGTTGCAAATTTTTGTTTTAATATGATTGGTTTATGTGTAGAAAGCAAGAACTTGTGCTACGAGGGAGCTAATCTCTTCACTATTTCTTTTGTTACAGTGTCATATTTTAACAAACCTTAGGTTCTTCAGACTAGGATTTTGAGATGCATTGTCACTGAAAATAGGTTTAAGTAATGTGTAAGTAGTAGTCGTGTACTGTGAAGAATGTATCCGGCTTGCTGTCCCTGAAGAGCCTGACTCTCCTCAGAGAAAGGATGAGATAAAGCTGCTGAGTTTCACTTACTAGTGTTCTTCCCATCACTCCACTTGGTAGCCCGATTTGGCAACTTCTGGCTCACTCGGAGCACCAGCACGCTGATGCAGAAGCACAACTGTTTCCACACCTTTGTGGTGACAAGGTTTCTTCATTCCAGGGTTGTTCTGCTATACCTGATAGGAACATCTGAGAATTAGTATTCCTGACAGTGAAGCAGGAAGATTTTAGCCTGGGGACTGATTTTATACATGTTAAAGTTACTACCAGTCTGGAATTGGTGACTGGTTTAGCCAAGGTTTCTCTGTGTACGTATGTATAGGAAATACAGAAAATGAGTAATCACCTCCAAATGAGTGAAAACATTTAGATGCAGCCTCCGTTGCTATATGAGTATTTTCTGTCGGGAAGCTTGTGGACCTTCAGTTATCAGTCAGGCAAAACTGATTTTAAAGTTTTATATCATTGTCAGTGGGCAGAAATAAGTAATAGTTACTACTAAGAATACTGTATAGACAAGGCAATAAATGAAATACCTTTTTATGAATAAGGTATAGGCAAGCTACAACAGATCTGTTGATTTGAGTAGGATATTTGCCTAATCTGTGGGCTTGAGATTCGAGCACACTCCAATTAACTGGGCTCTGAAACACCAAGGAAAAGGTGCTCTGCCAATGTCTTCTTTGCAGTTTTATCTCAGCAGAAACAGAGAAAGGCCATGAAAACTGATAAACTCAAATGAAATTCATCTTCAGAATGATGTTCAAGCTGAAATTTGGCTCAAATGTGAGCTCATTTTACTCTTTTTTAAAAACAGTTGTAGATGAAAAGATTTATAATGCTTAGAAATTCAGTTTTATATTGTTAGTCAGACTACTCAACCTTAAGATTAAGGTTTGTTATCACTCTATCAAGAATATAATGCTTAAATATTTAATGCACTACTTTTTGAGCTGTATGCTGTCAGTAAGTCATATGTTTCAAGGAAAATTTTATGGAACTAAGCAACATTAAACTTCCTAAATTGGGAGAAAAGTACGACTAGTAGCCATACCACTACAGTAGAGGGAGACTGTGTATTGTATATATGTTGTATATATCCAAAATATCAACTGTTTTAAGGGTGTACAGGAAAATGCCTTAAATTTATACATGTTTTTCTTTCTTGTATTTCTATGGTGGAATTTCATAGAAGTAGAGAAATGTGAGTAATTAATTCTGTAGAAAAGTGGTAATTTAAGACACAGAAAACATCTTGCAAACACTTTTTTCTTAAAATGTTTTCTGTTTACAGTAACTTAAAATGTTATTTGAAACTTTTTTAAGCAAACATTTTGAGAGAGATTTTTATATTGGCAGTGCATGTGTTTCATTAGTATTTATGTTTGGGTAAAATACTACTTTTGATGCCACCTTCTGCCATCCAAGTTCTCCAGAGTTTAGCCTGTGTCATCGTGGAGCATCTTCAAAGTATACAGACTGCACTTCTCTCTGATAAAAATAAACTACATGATGCCCTCCAGGACTGCAACTAACACACTCCTCTGCTGATGGATGCTGAGTGCACAGGATCCCACCAGAGCTAGTCCAAAGCGAAAACACCTGAACACTGCTACTGTGGGTGCCAGGTTTTCAGTACCAACTGTATAATTCCAAGTATTCATTCCTGTTGTGCCACATTACTTGAAAACTTAAATGGAGGCAATGTTAACTTATGGAAATAAATGGGCTCTGTAGATATAACTGGGTGTTGCTTTATTTTCCTGTCATGGACATTAAAGTTTAGAAATGCTTCTGAAACCTGATTCAATGACCACAATTTTACAAGGCTTATTTCATGTAAGGAAAATCCTAAGGCTTGTTGACTTTGATATGCACAGGGATTCTAACTCCAGGTATAGTTTCTTTAGCACACAGAATCACAATACAAAATATTGTAGCTGGGTTTCCACTGTGTTATAAAAGCCAGTATTAAGGACTTTATTATATCTGGAAGTGAAGCATATCATCACAAACGGAGGAAAGACAGATATTTTTTAAAGCATTAGTTAATTTTTTCAGGACTTTCAAGAAAGTATTGTCTTCAGAGTCATGAAGCAAATTCTTCTAGAATAAAAGATAAACTTAATATGTAATTTTTTAATTTGGGTCTAAGGTGGTCAGGCCAATGAGACTGCTTCTGTAGGGATTGAATGATCCCTAATTTTTTCATTATTTGTCCTTGCACTTTGCATGTTTTCATTAACTGGACTCTGTCAAAATATGTCTTTCTTTTTGTTTAGATTTGTGCTGCTGTTTTTCTCCTTTGAATTTGTTGCTCTTTTGGGGTAAGTGCAGAAGTGTCACCAAAGGCAGCAGAAATGTACAGGTTTTTTTTTGTGAGCAGCAAATACTGATGAGGTTTGGTACAGCACCTCTTAGAGAAGCAGTTCAGCATCTGAAGCCTCCAAAGAAGCTAATCTATCTTTGCACCTCCTGATCTCAACTGTGATGTTGCCTAAGGCATAATTTAATCAGAGGGGCATGTTTTGATTTCTGAAGGCTGCTCCCAGCTCTGCATGGGCACAGTGTGGCTGACCTTTTCTATGGTGTCACGTGCTGCAAGTCTGTCTCTGCCATCCCTTCCCAGCCCAGGTGTCCTATGGCTTTTGAGGGGCTATCGGATGGGAGCTAGAGGGTCCTCTCTTCCTCGGCAATACATCCTTTTCTGGACCTAATTTTAATGCTTTGTTGCTGCTACTCCAGGTAATCTCCTTTATACACAGGAATCAAAGCAGGTAAGAGAGAATCTCATTTTTTAAACGAGGTGCCTGTCATCTGATAAAATCTGAACTGTACTTGTTGTGTGAGATGCTTCCAGATCCACTCTATAGAGCTTTTCGTAGTGCCCTTTTTACGTTGTTGTACATGAACATTTTCGGTACAGGACAAAATACATTGAGGTCTTTAATGTGACTGGCAGCTGCAATGTTTTAGGGGTGCTTTTTGTTCTGATGGCATGCTGTTTGTGAAGAAGTAGTGCCAACATGCTGATGACAGGCAACACCTTTCCAGGGACACCAGGGCCTCCAGATGTGGCCAAGGAGCAAAGATGCTTTTAGCTCAATGTTTGTTTCCAGCTCCTCACCCTGTCAATCAGCTCCCAGGCTGCTGCAGTTTGCTGTGTAGTACTTTCAGTCAATCTGCAAGGATTTTGGTCTGCCTTAAAATTACTGCACTATCGATCATGGTGTTTTAGGAGCATGTGTATATGTACATATTTGTATATATTGCCATAACGTGTTCAAGCTATGTTTTTGTGAAAAAACTTCCAAGTACTTTTGGAAAAGCCATTAAAAATGAAACAGTATCATAACTTTCATGCTTTTTTTTTTTGTGCATTTTTAACTTTATACAGAAATTGTTGCTTATTGTTATTCTCACTTATGCATTTCAAAAATAGTCTTTTAATACTAGTGTACAGTAACAAAGACATTTAATCTGATTTGATATAAATATGTATCAGATTGGTATCATAAACCAACGGCCATGCTGGCCTAGTGAAAGACAAGCCTGAGAAAACTAAGCTGCCTGAGGATGTGATGCATCCCATGCTAAGACAGGTATTCAAGGTAAATTACATGAACTGATCTCTGGAATTGCTCATAGCTCTGTTTTTCTTAGAGGAGGAGGTGGGAAGACTAGTTTAGGCATGCTTATCACGTCAGGTGAGCAGGAGTGAAATGAACCCTAAATTACTGCAGCTGGTGTAATATAATTACTAAAACCCCTTATTTTCTAAAGTGGTACTGAGGATTACAGTTACCCCCTAAGAATTATTTATATTAAGTTCAGATTGCCATAGAGGTTTCTTTGAGTAGAACACACTCCGTTTTCTAGATTTTCCAACACTTGGCTTGTAAGAAGTTCATCTGCCTTTGACTATGTAGATATAATTTTTGGCTGAACGTGTATGCTCCTGCTTTTTGATTTTCAGAGGAAAATCAGCTTTCGATTTAAGAATATTTCTCAAACATTCTTCTACAGAAAAAGATAGATGTTACCTATGTTCACAAGGTAGGTAGCTAATTGTGTTGATGGAACAAGATGAGAAGGACTTTTCATAACTTTCAGTACCTCCAGAACTTTTGGTTCAAGCTTTAGACATGTATCAGAATCCAGGCAGATTATAATCAGTATAGGTCTTAGAAAAATGGATGTTAATTTTTCTTCAGGAGAAAGTAGACATTTGATTTTTGCAACATACCTATCAAACATTGTGTTTAATGACCATCAGAGCACAGATGGCTCATACAGCAGACCCTGTAGCAGGGAACATGCTGAAATGCAGTGCTGAAAGGGTGTTCATGTCTGGGAAGGATGAGAAGGACAAAAACTGGTATTTTGAGCCCTGTTATAGGGCTGCTTCCAAAGACCAGAGTCTTTTTTGTAGTGGCTGCAATGTCTGTGTGACTGCTGGCACATAAAAGGCCAGTACCAAATGCCAGTTCAGGAACATCACTGGACCTTCAAGCATTTGAACTTGCACTCTTAAGCCTACTCAGGCTTTATATATAGTCTGTAAAGGTGTTTTCTGTGCAAGCCTTGTAACAGTGGTGAGGACAAGCATCCTAAGAAAGGAGCTCTTGTTTGCAGAAGACGGCAGTTGGATTTCTTTCCCCTTGTACATTTCCCACCCCACCCCCTGCACTCTTTTATCCATTTCTCTGTGGTGGGGAGTCTGGAGTGACTCAGGAAAGTCTCCTTGTGTTAAACACCTACTGGTGACTTGCTGAGACTTGGCAAACTGATGTTTCTGCTTGCCTTCAGAAGTCTCTGTATTTTTCTTGCATGTTAGTCCATGTTTAATTTGATTTCTGTTATTGTGGTTTTTTTTTTGCCAAGGAAATACTGGGAAGCATGTCTACAATTGACACAACAATTCTGTTTACATTTGCTTTCTTGTTTCCTTTTTATTCAAAGAAACATTTCAAATAATTTTTTTTTTTCCTTGAAATGCAAAGACCCAAATGGATAAAACACGTTTTTCAAAAAAGGCTTGACTTTATCAAGAGAGAGTTTGGATGCTCTTTACCTTCCCTGTTACAGGAATGTCTACAGCATTGTGATCTAAACCACAGCTTTGATGTTTTCTAAATATCATATTGATGATGATCCGACATGGTTATAAAAGCACTGTGGTTACAGTCAGGTTTCTGCTTCTGTAGCTCATGCTCTTCTCACAAGGCAAGCTACAAAACTTTCCCACTGCTAAGCTTTCCTGAAGGCCTCTTTCTGCTCCCTGGAATTTGGCTAGATCCCCTTTGAAAGAGAAATATCCTTTCCTTTGGGGTACGCCTCACCACCTGGCTCACAGCGCTGGCTGTTAACAAGTGAGCTTTAGCTGCAGACAGGTACCTTGCTGAGCCCAAAGCTTGCTCTCTTCAAGAGAAACTAGAGTCCTGGGTTTTATAAAGTAGCTGGCTTTTCCATCAGCACTCACACATGTACTTACAATGTTTTACAAAATTGTTATTTTGGTTGGGTTTTTGTTTCTCCTCCCTGTTTGTTATGAGAAGTCTAAATGTTACGGGACAGTTTTCTAATTTTACCCCATGCTGTTGGCTCTGCCTCAAGAAAGTCATTTGGTTCAGCTTTAGCTGCCAATATCTCTTTGCCACACAGTCATTACAATGTAATTGGATCTAAAGTATGTGTATAATTTGCTGCTAGCAATGCTGGCTTGTCTTAATTATGACATCCAGCTGATTTCTAAAGGATACTAATCAATGAATATGCATAGCATAGTAGACGGACACAGATGAATGAGTAAATCTTCGCAAGAACTTGAGTTTTCACAGTACCTGCTTATCAAGCTGTTTAAAAGCATTGAGGCAGGATCTCTGGTTTGAAGTGGATGAGGGCTTTTAAAAGGGCTTGTGACGCAGCCCAGGACAAAGTGTGCGCAAAGCCTGAGGTGTTTTAGATTGCATACACGTGTGCATTCTGCTGCACTTTGTGGAGGCAATGAGGAAAATCTTAGAGGTATAAATATGAACTCCTCGGCAGATGATGGCTCTTACCATTCCCCTAGTACTTTCTCCTACATGCACCCTGATTGAATGTTACAAATAACTTTTCACTGAAAGCATTTCCTTTCAGTGTCTCCTCTGCAAGCTAGCTTTTTGAAATATCTGTATTTAATTTTAAGCTGGTTGCTATTCTTGCCCATACAGTTTTGATTTTTTTTAAGCCTCATATTTTTCTTCATCTGAAAACTGTCATGTCATAGAAAACCTGTTTTCCAGGCTGTAACAGTACTTTTAAGAAGTAACATGATCACGAGTTATGGTCACATAAGGCTCTAAAGCCTTTCCAAGCAGCTCCTTCCTCACAGCCTCATATAGTTTTGTTTGCAGATTGCAACTGGAGGATCTTAAGGCTTTATCACTTCAAATACTCAGCTCCTCGAGGGTATCTCAGATGTGCTGCAGTGGTTTAATAGAATCCTTGTGTTCCAACACCTTATTAAAGGTCCTGACACAGCCAACTTGCGTTAGAAATTTTGGATACGTGACAAACCCTGCTAGAGGTTATGAAAATTCTGTGGGGATGTTGATAGATTTGGACAAACTGAAAGGCTATGTGAACAGCAGTGAGTCTTGTGATTAGCTATCTATATATACTTAATTACTTGCATATTTTCAGTTAACAACATCTTCATTAAAAGAATATCTGCTATCCATTTCTTTTTTTATTTTTTCT